TTCAAAATATTCGATTACAATACGTTAACATAAAAAATTCAATTATTTATTCATTTAAATTCTATAATTTTAAATATTAACAATTAATAGACATTATTACCATTAGGGATTTTACCCTGCCTCTGGGGCAACAAAATATTTAATACAACTTTCTACTGCCGTCATCTCTTTCCCAGTATTTTAATTACAAACTTATGTAAATTATGAGTGCCTACTTCTGTAAGATTAATTAATTGTTTTCCATAATACTAAGTTGTATTCCAGTTAAACATATATTAAAGCTATTGCCTTCCAGCTCTTTGCAGTCCCTCAGAAATATGTAACGTAGAAAAGTCCATCAAGGACATTGTTGCGGTAAACAATTGATGTAGGTGTTCCTATATAGAATTTGTGCAATAATTTTTTTTAAGTCCATTTTGTCTGTAGATAGAGGATTGAATCGATGCCTTAATGATTTCGAAGAAAGATAATGTGAAATTCTTTAAGTTTGTAGATGTAATCCAAGGCCAATTTGGAGTTGCATAGTATATCGATGAGTTAATAATGAAGTTAAATAGTTTTACGTGAATTCTAATGTCGGTGATTTTTATTTTGTTACACAAAAAAATCAGATTATCAATCAAGGTATTTACATTATTAGTTATTTTTAATAAATAAATGGTTTAAAACCATCGTTCCGAGAAATTAATACTTCCAAGTAACCTATTTCGGTCGTAAGTTTCAGTTCTATACGCAAGTAGTATTTCGCTTCTTTCTCTGAAATTTTGATATCTTTCCAGAATATCACAATTTTTGATTTTTTTTCTTCGTTAATAATAATAAATTTAAAATTCTGTATGATTTACTCTGTTTTTAACAATAGTAGCAATTTTTTACTATCTTGTGAACGTTAAGAAAGCCAAGAAGGTTCTCTTAATACCCACTTATTATGGGTTCGGCCAGGGCCATAATCGGATGGCCTAGTGGCGAAGGATAAGACACTACTGTACTGTACTGTACCGTAAAGAACCTCAACACTCGGCCTAGCCACGTATGAAAATTTCTGAACTGACCACAGTGCCTAATCTCGAGTTATGCGAGTATCACGTGGTAGCAAGTCGTTCAGGGAGAACTGAAACGAGTTTATGAGAAGTCTAAATCTCAACACATCTCACATAAATCGAGACTAGACATCCTGGACTCGAATACTGATCTTGTAGAGTGGCAAAGTGATGTCTATACAGTCTTTTTCACTCTGTCGTCTATGTATCAGTTAGTCTACCACTAGTCTTCTATAAACAGATCTTTATTTTTCTTTTAAATCCGGAAAAAAATTTACAAATTTCTGGAACCGTGAGATCCTGGCTCTAAGCAGTTATCTAGTTTACCACGTCTAACATGTAAGTGCGGTCTCGCTGATATTCTTATTAATTACAACAGTAAGATCGATTACACTTTACATTGCCGTATAATAATCCATTTGTCAGTAGACTAAAAGTTTCGATATTTATTTTATTTGCAAAATAATTAGATAAATGATTACATAGAAAGTGAAATACAGCAATTAAAATATTTGATTTCGTAAAATAATTATATTATTAACACAAACTTTTTTGAGACTATATTTTATAGCAATAAAATTGATTTAATGTATTTGTCATTTTTATTAATTTTTTTCTTAAATTAATTTAATATTCGATTATTTTATGCACGACTTGCCATTAAAAATAACGATGTTATCGATTATTGTTAAAAGTCAGTTAAAAGATTTACTTTGCGATAAGTGGTGAATTGTTATATAGATTGAAAACGCCAGATAAATATATATCCAACAAAGTTTTCATCTCGAATTTATCTTAATTCTGGTTCATAGCAATTTTTAATAATTTAAAATTGAAACTTTTGTGCATTCAACGGTGAAGTTGCGTATTTCCAATATGTCAACATTGTTCTATAAAGCTAGATCTATTGTTAAGCTTCAATAAAATTTCTCGACTTTCAAGTTTTCACTTTCCTCTAAAGCGGCAGTGGGCTAACTTTTGCGGATAAGAGGCCTTATTGTAGCAATGAAATACAGGGGGAGCAGCACTTAAAAATTATACAATGTGCCCTTTATTCTTTTAACAATTGCCAAAAATACATGTACATTGCTTTATCTTTAATTTGAAAATTGTAATCTAATCAATTTAAATTTGAACGAACAATGAAAAAATCACCTGTTTATGAAATCGAACAAGTAGTAAACACATAAATACTGTAGTCATAAGGGCAGATTGGCGAATTTATTTTTTATCTACTTTATTTATCGGTAAAATTTTGGGCATTCCGGTTATTACTTACAGGAGTTGCACGAATTAGTTGCAAGGGGTTTGCCCACCTCTGCTCTAAAGAAATACGTGGATAAGTAAGTAACTAGACTTTTTCATACAATTCTAAGATTCTTTAACCTTTTTCACTTTAAAACAGAATCGAATATTATATCTGTAACGTTGCTTTTACTCTGATATTAAACCTATATCACATTTTTCCATGCACTATTAAAGTTTATTAATGGAAAGCTTTATTCACCTTTACGACGTTCATCCATTTACTATATAAATGATGAGAAACTTTATGGGTAAAGAGTCTCCAGACTACTTCACTCGTATCAACCTTTCACGCTTCAGTTTTCTGATATTCTCATCAATTCTTAATACGTAAATCGCTAAACACGACCACAGACCATTTCATCTTTCCATGTCTAAATTTAAATTATTTAAGTCAAATAATAATTGGCATTAATACGATTTTAGATTTAAATGTGCAAGTAATGCACGGGCATATTTTGTGTCGTAAATTATTACGATTTAATCTAAATAAAATCCAAGTTTAGAGTCATTTGGATAAATTAAACGGACGAGTTTATGTCGAATAATATAAGAAAATTTCTTTATTGTTCCTACAATTTTCGATAAAATGAGTTTTTTTTCCCCTTCTTAAAAATCGATAAAAATCGGAGAGAAGCTTATTGACCTATGACACTTTCCATCTCTAACTTCCACTTCCATTTCGATTTCTTGTGTACCATTTATATCATCATTCACGTGGCTTTTTACGAAATCTTTCTACTTTTCACTCGAATCGATAAATATGAGGTCCAAAACCATTTATACATTCCAAGTAGTACTTAAAACTGCACTTCCTAACGTTATTTCGTATATGCGCTAACTAATTCATATATAATTATCTAAATTTTAATATATATAAGATTTCTTACTTTTTATAAATTGTTTAGACAAATTTTTAATGTTTTCCCATAATTTTATGATTTAAAATGCTGTACAGGAAAATTTACACTTTTTTTCTTTCCAAAATTGCAATATTTATTATCTATACAAACATGCATATTTAATATCTATACAAATATTTATTATCAAAATTTACAATTTAAAATTTTACTAAAATTTATTATAATCTCAATTAGAAAGTAAAATTAGTTAATAAATTCATGATTTTATATTTATATCAATGATATAACGTTTAACTTAAGGTAAAGTAGAGTACATTAGTAACATTTCTTTATCTGTTACATCGAACGAATTTTATGGATTTTATATAGGAAGAGCTTACTCAAAAGTGAGTTTACTAGGACAAAAGTAGTGAAATTCATGTAAAAACACTATAAATTGAAGAATTTTCCACAACTTTCGTATCTTCCGCAAGATATAAATGAGCTATATACTATCTCACATCCATCTTTTATTGTTAAAAGTTTATATAAGTTCCTCGTTTGTAAGGAGGTCGGTTTTTACGAAGCAGGATGAAATAACAGTAATACTTGACCTAACTCCGGATAAGTGAAAGTAGTACGAGGTGACGTCACACTCGTCTTAACCCGATTTCCGTCGTTACATCACTCCATCTACCTTTAGCCAACTTATCGTTCCGAATCAAACGAGAATCTCGTACAATTTATCTAAATGGAGCGGATATCGATAAGTTACTTTAGGTAAAATGTAGGTTTGTGGTTACAGGAAGTGAAAAATAAACAATGAAAATTTATTAAATCCATTATGGACTATAAACACTTCAGAATATATCATTTCGGCTTACGTATTCCTCTTATTGATGCGAATCATCACACTAATCTCGTGAGGAATGCACATAAATTAAGCAAAATAATCCATTTTATAAGAGAAAAAATCGATAATAAAAGATTTTTAGAAATATCTTAGGCTTCTATGAAGATATTCCGAGCCGGAAACGACGCCCGAAGCGTATTATTTGATCCTAAAAATAAGTGCAGACGAGCCAGAAGGCAATACTGATGAGTTTTGAAATAAATTTACTGTTTATTAACTAAAGTAATTTAATCAAAAATGAGTTTATCATCAAATATTTTAATAGACGTATGCCTATAAATGCGGAACAAGTAAATGGATCAAGATGCCCATCAGCAGATGTTACCGGTGATGCATTAGAAGTGGAGAAAACGGAAGAGAGAGAGAGAGAAAGAGAAAAAAAGGTGTCAGGATTTATCTGCATCGAGGGGGGAATGCGGAAGAGAAACGATCTCTTTTTTCCCATTTGACTCGTGAGAACGGTGTCGTTTCAATTATTTCCGCACCCACCCTTTTTCTCTAAAGAAAAAATAAAAAATAAAAAAATGAGGCACGTATATTCACTTCAATTTTACTTTCTACACCGATACGGTGATGAATCGGAAGTTTGTCCTCGTTTCTATTAATCTAGGAACTGTTTAGTTAGTCTTTTCATAAACCGAATTCATTGTTAAAACCCTGTAAGGTCAAAAGATGACCCAGATTTCTCTGTATGCAGATAATTCAATGAATCGTCGGAACTGGATTTTCTCACATGATTAAATTAAAAATCTTACATCTGTGTTCGTCATCCGTTAGTTTAAAATGTATTATAGAATTAACTGATAAAGCTTTGTATGTATGTAACTTACAGTACGTTTCACTACTATTTATTTGTTGAATAATAGAACTTACTGCGTGTATATTGTTTCATCTTTTTAGGTTATTTTCAAGTTTTAGAAACGTTTCTTCTATACGTATGCAGCTTATTTTTGAGTGGAATTTACATCAGAAACCATTAAATCATCCGGGCAACGAGATCTCTATCTTGAAGTAAGTTTTGCTAACAAAGCATTTTCGTTTTTTTTTTTTTTATATTAATTCTCTTCGAAAAAATCAATTTTTAGTTACGTTTTTAGAATTTAGAACACCAAAAGAACCATTTAGCGCTAAATGATAACTAAAGAATTAATTGTAAATACGTGGGAAGAAGAAATAACTCATTAAAGGAAAACAATCGTTAAACAATTCTTTATATAATAAAGAATTCTGAAAATACATGAAGACAAATGTCATCGGGGAAAACTTCATAAAGTTCAAGGTCTAAGCATCTTATCTATCGGTCACACGTTTCTCTTGACACGGTAAGTATCCAAACTGTTTAAAATTGATTCGGCCCACGAGCATAATTATATGTTACTACAGTGCAATCATTCCAGATTGATAGCTAGGAGACGTTCAAAATTTATACAATTAAAATGCTTAATGCTTTTAATTAATTCCTACGTCGAAATTTATGTGAAGGAAACTTCACAAAAATGTATCGTTCTCTCAAAGTCGATAAAATCGAATTTAATAATAAATAAGAAATTAAATAGTGTTTTATCACGTGGAAAAAATCTTCGGAATTTTCTGGCGATGGTTAATTTGGACAAGGACACTAAAAATAGCCCATCCTCTGATGGATTTTTAATGTCCTTAACCGTGAATTTGTTAAAAGTCGAGTCTTTTCAGGAGAAATTTGATTTAGATTCGATAATAGTATTCAATAAAAACTTATTTTCCTTGAAATTCGAAAGTTTTCTCGTCGGTCGATTTCATTGTCGTAGAGCAGTCGACGTCTCTTTTGATTGAATTTAATTAGAAGTTTTGAGGTCACGACCTTGTTACTGCTTTCCAAGCAACCGGGACACTGACAATGCCGGTATACCTAACAAGTTTATTTACGCAGAGAAAGTACGAGTTAAAATCTTATGAGTATCCTCGATTTTGGATTTAATTCACGGATAACCAGCAGAATTTGCACACAGAAGGAAACAGGCCTGCCATTAAATGACGTCACTAGTAGGTTTTTTTTTGTTTTGTTTTTGTTTCTCTTTACAAATTAGCCATCGACCCGAGTCATTAATTTTAACGTCATCCTTATCTGGTGGCGGACAAAGGACAGAAGCTTTTCTACGTCACACAACGTAGAATACACTAGCTACTTACTACTTAGATTAATTTTGCTTAGAGTTTGCTGACATTAATAATTAAATTCGTGTAAAAATTCGAGGGAGGAAAAATATTTAGCAGAGTTGTGTTCGATTTGGTGGTTAGGAAATTTTACAGGCGCCGTGTTTTTGATAAATGTGGCGTCTCGAAAGAAATAAGACGAAGAAATAATATTTTCTCTAACAGAGTGAACCGTTATCAATTGAATTTCGCTTGGCATAACGGGTCAGCATCCTCTTTACCAAACTATGTCATTTCTATCGACTTACACGAAGAACTTTAAACATTAAAAAGTGAATCGTCCTTGATTAGGAAAAAATCCATTTGTTTGCTTCCCTCGAGAATTCTTCGACATTCGAATTTTATACACGTGGGATGTAACGATCGTTTCTTTAATGTTAATCTGTTTATTTCTTCAAGATTTCTTTTTAAAGTTTTGAAAAATTCATAAGTAAAGATCAATAACCTCACAGATATTAATTCAGATTTTTTATCCACTTTTTGAAAACTTTCATTAACCGTAAGTTTTCATCTAGATTAACAAGCAAATAGATTTTTTTACTCCCATTTCCGAGAATTTGTTGGAAAAATTGTGAATTTTATTTTATTATTAATAACTTAAGAATTACGTATTAGTTTGATGGACTTACGTCGTATTGACTCTTAACTCCTGACGTTGCAGAAGATTGTGTATTGCACAACCCTACTCTAATAATAAAGTATATGACGGCATAGGAAGTAATTACTATTTTATTAATTTAAATAAATAACTGAATCGAATTTAATGTAGTACGTAATTCCTTTATCCGCATACTTGCGTCTACACCGTGTTTTCGAGTTTTTAACGGATATGACGTTCGATCTTATGTCGTATTGTCGCTATCCAGCTAAAATTACTCTGCAAACTCCCCTTAAATTTACATATTAAGTTTTTTTCGAAGTTCTTTTGTATAAGAATGGCTTACGGTGACGTTCCTTTTTTAAACTTCTCAAAGATGGCATATTTTGTACTTAAATAACTAAAGAGTCGGCGAACGTTGCTAGGCGACTAAACAACTTCAAATTGATTAATTTTTTGGCAGGCGAGTGACGAAACCCGGCTTAATTGTTTAACAATTGAAAGCACTTCTCGTTTTTTTAAATATTAGAATATTCGAAGAACCTTTTAATAAATTGTTTCCTACGAAGGACGAGACGTATCTTCAATTTAAGTGTGATTCAACACTTAATTTACTTGTAAAAAATCGAAGGAATTAATTTTTCCCATTTTCTGCATTTCGATATGATTAATGTAGAAATATTTCATATTTTACTAAGGGTTATAAATTTTTATTTCACTTCACGTGACCGCATTTATAACTATTTATAGTTATTTTGTTGTCGGTTCCACGTCTGTCATTGTCACACCACCCGATGGGAAGATCAGGAAAGTTTGCCAGGAAGAGGAAATTCAACTTTGTTCTTTCAGAGATACTTGTCCAAAACATTTGCGATCTACAGATGAAAGCAGAACTTTCCTTTCTTCTTTTTTTTCCAAAAGATATATCATATTTTTGTGTCATTCGTAAAATAATTTTATTTTTTATTTTTTAAATTGTTGATAAATATCGGATCAAAAAAAAGAAACTGTTTATTGAAATTTCAATAAACAGTTTCTTTTTTTTGGAATTTATTTTTATAGAGGATGGCTTTATTTAATGTCATAAAACGATTTTATTAATATTATTACTTTTTAAAAGTCAGTAGTAAAAAAGTAGTTTAATTTTTTATATTTCTTTCTTGATTTATTCGGTGGATTTCTTTAATAGATTCAATTATAAGAAATAATTGGAAATGATTTACTTCCATTTTCTTTAAATCCTTTCCAATTTCATTTTTCGTTTTTCGTTGAAATGTATTTAAGACACTCTTTGGAAAAAAACAGAAAAATTGTTTTAAATTTGATAAAATTTCACTTTTCAACCGGATTGTTATCGTTTTAAACATTCATTATTCATAGAGAAGTCCGAAACGATGCACTTGCTTCATTGATCAAACGTCATTTCTGCGATATTATTCTAGCTTAAATTATGTATGTAACTATAAATTATTCATAGTATAATTCAAGTTATTGTAAAGTAAGTAAATTTATATTCAACTGCACTTCCTGATTTGACCTATAACATGTTGCAACTAACGTTTATTCCAGTTATTATTATTATTATTATTATATTATTTAAGTAAATAAATTAAACTTTAATTTGTTTTCGTCACGTCTCGATTAATACTTTAACAATTCGTAGTGTAAAAAAAATTAATTAAAGTCCTGGCAAAGTCCTTTTTTTGTTATATCACGTGCTCTTTAATTGTTATTCCATCTAATCAATCAATCACTGTTCGTATCGCGAATGTCGTTATATGTGCGTGGTCTGTAGAAGATATTAGAAGAGGATTTTCTACGTTTTATTGATTGTTTCCTCTTGGCCCACGTGACTAAAATAACCCGAACTCAAATGGAGAATTTGTATTCGATATGACATATAACCATTTTTTAGAATTATTGCTGTTTATAGACATTTCGAATTGAAATATACTACAGGGTTGAAGTGAGCATGAAAAATTATTATTATTATCATTATATATATATATATATACATTACATCAGTATTTCGTAATGACATTCAAGTAATGTTTTCAAAAATGATAACTACAATCAATCTTGAAAGGTTTTTATTCATTTATTATAAACGGATCAATTCTTTCCAAGAATATATTTTACGTTGACGTATTGTTTTTTTTTCTATTTTTTGTAAAGTGCGAATTTATAAATTCTTGAAGGTAATTTCGAAATTCTCAAATTGAATTCTTTTCATATTTTATTAATATAATGATTAAAATTACAATGTAAACAAAAGGAAGACAAAACAAAGAAATTGTCGAATTAAGGTAGTATTTTTAACTATATTTACCTACATGATCTTGAGCAATAAGGACAATGTCAATTCAATTTAATAATTCCCAATTATATATTATTACTTTACTTATGCACCTCTTAAGTGACATTTTGGTCACATTCTCTTTCTTTTTTCCCCTTCATTATGCTCTCGAAGCGGTAAGAACGAGAGAATGGACTCGTGATCTGGAATTTCAACCTACATAATACTGTCATTGAAATATTTCCGTCAAGGCATTATCGAAAATTCTTGTATTATTTTTTCGTTTTGTAATTTTCTTCCCTTCAACAAAAGCTCAATAACCTTCGGAGGAAATTAATTAGATAATGATTCATTTTCTCTACAAGTTCCCGGTTTGTGGTTGCAGATAAAAGATTGTTCAGAATGTTGCCTTGTAATCTGAAGTTAGTTAATGATTTCTAGTATTATAGCTCATTTTTTTTAAACTTAATACGTTTTGCACGCTTTATATTTCGTTACATTTATTAACCACCATTTAATCTATCGTAATATTATTCCGCATTAATGTTAAAATTATACGTATACAAGCGCTTAGAATTTTATATTTAGATCTCATTCGTATTTTATTTGACTTTACTAATATTTATCTTAATTAAAACTACCCAATGTTTGGAATTCTGAATAAATTCTGGAGTTAACAAGTAAAGTAAATTTAATCTTTTAGAAATTGACTGATCTACCTCTTGAAGAATTCTTTTCTGCGATTTTCATTTGTAAATACCAATTATAGAACTATTTTTTATTTTTAATTTCCTTTTTATTTAATTTCAGCAGCCATTTTCAAGCTATTATTAGAGTTTTTATTTTATTTTTATATTTTGAAAGGTAAGTCATTAAAAATTTATCATTATTCTTATCAACGTTTAATGATTCTCTAGTTATTAAACGTTAATAAGAATTCGAAAAATCAAAATGCCGTAAATGTATTTCGGTTTGCTTCCGGCATTCAATAAGTTACACGAACTTGTTTAAAATTAGTAAAAATTAAGACAAAGATCTGTCAAATTCAGTCATCTTTTATTCATTTTTAGTCACAGCAACAACATTACAGTGGCACTGACCTTCTTTTTATAGGCAGTTTATATTTATTCTTCTAAATATATCTTAATTATTAATTTTGAAAAAATACGAAATTAATCTTAATTAATTTTAAAATATTTTAAATTATAAACTTTGTACTAAAATTAATTTATTAAAACTTAATTTAGGGTAAATGAGGTGGTGAACACGTGTAATTGCTGTATAAACTAAAAAGTAGAGCCTCGTATTAATGTATTGTGTAGTTGAAAGTCACGCTTGTTGTGTGAGCCATTCACAGGCTCACACAACAAGCGTGAGTAAAAATAAGTGAAAAAATCTAATGTTTTACACGTGTTTACGTTTACTGTAGCCTGGAAAATCTTAAGGCAACATTAGCGGACGACTTTTGTTTCTCGTATACAATACTTTAGAAGCTCGACT